GTCAGAATAGACTTACTGTAAAACTCAGCAATCCCACGAGTAGGTATTTGCTGAAGAGAAACAAAAACATATATGCACACAAAAACCTGTTTGCAAATATTTATAGCAACATTATTCATGGTCCCCAGAACTTGGAACAACTCAACTTCCCTTCAACTGGTGAATGGATATACAAACTAGTATGTATCCGCAACAATGGAATAATAAAAAGAAACTCCTGCTAAGTATAATGACCTGGATGAATCTTGAGTGCATTACACTATGTGAAAAAAGCCAGACACAAGCCACTACCCACGGCGTAATTTCATTGAATGACATTCTAGAAAAGGCAAAAACAGATTGCTGGTTGCCAGGGGCTGTATGGTGTATGGGTGGGGAAAAGGTATGAACTGCAATGAAACATTGGGGATGATGAAAATGTTCTTTTTATCCTCTTCCCTTCAGCCTTTATTTTTACTTTTTTCAGTTCCAGGATACCTGTGTAGGATGTGCAGTTGTGTTACATAGGGAAATGTGTGCCATGGTGGTGTGTTACACCAATCAACCCATAGCCTAAGCATCAAGCTCCGCATGCATTAGCTGATGGCAATGTTCTATATCTTGACTGCAATGGTAGTTACAAGTTCTATGCAGTTTTTTCAAAACTCACATAACTCTAAACCTAAAAAGGCAGAAATTTACTATATATAAATTACGCTTCAAGAAAGTCAACTTTAATTTAAAAAGTGGATCGTTAAACTTTCTGCTGTTTTTATGCTGAGGTTCAGAGAAGTTAGAGGACTGTTATACACACACCCTTTGCTCATAAGGTATGGACAATATGTCACACAGAAAAAGGAACACAACGCACTGTCCCATGTAATACACCCACCTACCTTGTGTTGGCAATATGGTCGCTGAGGCACAGAGATTTTAAGAGATCCATACAAGGCCTCTGCACTAATACTAAGTGACAAAACTGGAACTCAAAACCAGATTTCTAGGGGCTGGGAAATAGTGCTTTTTTTTTTTACAAAGGTGCTGTGGTGAGGGATAGGAGTACAGGAATTTTAAATTGGCAATTCAGAGTAATGTTGAGCTGGTAATGGTGTGTGCACTTAGTTCTGAACAACCCAACTTGGACTTGGAATCCTACTATGGGCCCTTCCCCTCTGCTCAGAGATCAATGGGCCAAAGGCCTATGAGCCGCCCCTGAATCTGGCTACGAAAGCAGCTTCAGATCCTTCATATCCTACCATTCAAGGAAGACAACTCCCAGTTTTCTATCCAAACAGGCCTGGGGGCCCAGCCAACCTGCTGAGTTGATGTAGCATTTGGGCAGCCAAGATTCCTTGTTATTGAAATAACAAGGACACAGACCAAGGTCTGCTGCAGACGAGAGATGCTGGCAGGAGGGGAGCAGAGAGCTGCCTTGTCCCCATCACCACCGCTCAGCTCATGGCCAGGACAAGAGGTCCCAAAAGGAGACACTGAGGGAGACCCTCCCATCTATGCAACTGGTGCAATGAGCACTAAACGGGCTCAGAACAGCCTGTCTGTCGGTGCTGTTTTGGCATCCTGCAGGAATGTCATCCCCAGCATCCGTTCATTCAGCAAATCATTGATAGAGAGCCTGGAATACCCAGTGATGAAACCAGGCAGGTCCCCATCACATTTGAGGTTGTCCTTCCTCTTCCTGGAGCAGCACTGCCATGACTGTCTATATAAGTCCTTCAACTCTTCAAGGAAAGTGCCCTCTCTTCTGGAAACCTTCCATCTCACACTTCCTGTCTCACCGCACCACCCCCAAACAGAATTTGTGGCTCCCTTCTTTGTGTCTGTCCCATAAGACTGTGACCTTCTCAGGCAGCCAAGACCCAGTCTTCCTTATCTCATTACCCTTACTCCTAATCCAGTACCTGGAATATGGTCAAATTCTAGTGTACCTTTTTTTTTTTTAAATAAATGAGGGATCCCTCTCAACTCCTGTAATAAAGGCCAGCATAATCAAGGAAAATGAAGTCAACTGCCAAAAAAATTAGGTCCTGGAGGCCACCATACAATGACACTATCTTAGGGAACCACAGATTCTTAGGGGTACATTGGGAGCTGGGGAGTGGTCCACAACAAGTCAAAAAGAATAATTTCAAGTTTTTATTCATTCATTTACTAATTTTTTACCAAATGTCCCTTTTGTACCAGGAAAAATTATGTACATTATTCATTAATCATTCCCCCCCCAAAAATATGGTGTGTGCATTTAGTTCTGAGGAACCCAACTTGGACTTGGAATCCTACTATGGGCCCTACCCCTCTTCTCAGAGATATAGGTATAATTATATTTATACCCATAAACATACTTCTGTAGGTATAATTATATTTATTCTAGTGAGGAGGAAACTGAAGCTCATAGAGATTAAGTAAAAGCCAGTATCACACAGCTGGTGAATACAGAACAGGATTCGAATTCAGGCCTCTATGCTCAGAAGTGTGCTGTCCAGTTGCACTGTTCCTCTCCTCAAAGCCATTTCCCTCCTTACCTTCCCCTTTCCTTTCATTTTCTGCCTCTTTTAAAGGTAATCTTGGGGCATAATACCTCCAAATACAGAATAGAACAGAGTCCCCTTATTCTTGAAAGGCAAAAGGCACGGCATCTTAATTGAAACAAGATAATCCAAACATTTGCTTCACGTCAAGTTTACAAATTCCATTTTGTTGACTTATATTTTCACAAATGGCTGTCATGTTAAAGTTATTTTATTTTTACAGAAGTTAAGAAAATATAAAGAGAAGAAGTTTTAGAACAAAGTAGCTTACAACATATTTGATTCCTCTTTTCTTGGTGCTGTAAGGGAAGTTTAGAGGTTTCCAGGATGAAATTTTCAGGCCATGTAACACCTTGCCTCCAGGCACCCTGCCCCTGGGCCAGACAGTTGGATACCCTGGATCGCCAGCAGCCATGACCCTAGAACCCTGTTCCTCACCTCCAACCATGAACTAATTTTCTAGCAGGGCCTCCCTTGCAAAATCAGAGATAGAAATAAAGGCAGAAGCCTTCTACATTCATCTAGTCACCACACCAGCAAAGATGCTTTTAACCCCAAATGACCAAAGTCAGCTTTCTCTTCTCTTAAAGAAGTCTTAATGTATATTAAATCCAGGACCTTGGGTCATCTTTGATATAGAACAAGGGAGGTAATACCCACTCTGGCTGTGCATGTGCCTGAGCATGGGGCCCCACTGTGCTCTTCTGACCTAAAGCCCCACTGATCTCTGATCTTCAGATGCTCTGAAGGGATATGATGTGGTAAGAAGTCAACGGCTCTGGAATCAAAAGAGCTGGCTTCTCATGCAGGCTCCACCATTCCCTTGCATTTAAGACATTTGAGGTTGAGTTCCTTCATCTGCCAAATGATTATAATTCCATCTACCTTTCCACTTCATCGGTTTGCTGAGCCTCACGTGTGATGACATGTGTGACAGCCTTTGAAAGCTACCTTGGAGCACCTTTTGAAGGCCATTACCACGTCCCTACCTACAGATTCACTCTTAGCACTACTCGGTCACAACAAGTAGAACCCCCTCCACTGCCTTCCAACTAACTCGCCTATTTACGCATCTCCTCCTCGCCTTCTCCAGAGAGGCTTCTACAACCACCCCAAGATGCAGCCACCACAGTCTCTCTGAAAGCACCAGGCTCAAATCTCTAAGCCTTTACTTACCATCTTCCTGTGCCAATACTGTGAATACAATGATGGCATATGGTGTGGATTCCCCTGGGAAAAGCAGACCCTGAGAGCTGGATTCAGATGCAGGTAGTTAATTTTAAAAGAACACTGTCAAGAAGGTAGAGAAATGATACCTGAATGGGAAGGCAGTCGGCAAAGGGCCTGTCTGGGGCTTCATGGCATGCCACGTGGGCAATCCCACAGTTAATGCGGATTAGCTGTGGGATGGTGCAGGCCGCATGCCATAAAGGGCTCCTGCTTGATTTAATGCTGTGGGGTCTCTGCTTGAAATTCTCAATGATTTCATTCTTGAACTTTAGTATATGGGCTGTAGAATACAAGCTGTATAATTTTGGTAATTCCACATACTAGTTAAATGCTCTCATATTTGCATTTAAAACTGACATGGCACACTATAAAGATGGATGTTAAAACTCATTGCTAATAATTTAAATTTTTTATTTTCCTTACTTAGAACAACATTAAATAACAATTTTTTTAAAAAATGCCATGACAAATTTAGGGAGAGGCCATGGAAAAAAAGGAAAAATTTTACATTTTAATATGCTTAACAGCACTTTTCCCTTGATTTTTTATAAAGCGGCCCTACATTTTCACAAATGATGTAGCCAGCCCTGGATGTGTTACTAAGCCTGTTAACACAGTGAATGAATGATGCTTAATAAAACAGAGAAGCTTGGTGAAAGTGACATAAAACACAGGTCTTTGAGCTATCCCACTTGAGGAATGAGGAGCTGGGGTATTTATACACCCACTCCCATCACGCCTCAGCTGAGAACTGCTGAGAGGAGATGGGGAGTCGTTAATTACACCTCGACTGGTTTGACAATAAGGACCAAAGGATGTGGACAGGGTGTTGACAGCAATAACAAGGAGGACCTTAGGAACTCACAGTGCATTGTAGGAACAACAGCAAGTGAATAAACAGGCCACTTACCAAGTGTTTAGGTGTAGCTACAGAAATAAACACAAGGGCTTTGGGAGAATAGAGGACAGGTCCCCAGCCAAGCCTGGTCACTCCACAGAAGCCCTCAGAGCACTGGTGCCTGGTCAGAGCATGCAGAGGATGGGCTTGACTGATGAAGAGGAGAGAAAAGAAAACTCTAGGTAGGAGTCCTTATTTATTTTCTGTCACTGTTGTAAAAAAACGATAGCAGATTTAGTGACTTAAAGCACCACAGAGTGGAGAAGATATTGTGCCCTTCCAACAGGCGGATGGACACCGTCTGGGAGAAGTGGTGCTGCTCCATGGTGGAGGTGGAGTAGAGAGCTGCAGAGGGCGGTCGAACTTCTGCGGGCACCTGTTAGTAAAGACCCTGTGGTCCAGGTCATGACACAGACACGCAATCAGCAATCCTTTGCGCTCAAGCTCTGTGAAAAGCGTGTGGTTGTTCTGAAGTATGACGTACATGCAGTGCGCTACCGTGACCGCATGCTTCCAGTTGTGATAGGGAACTCGCCAGTAGCTCTTCACAGACATAATAAAAGGACACCACTTTTCAAGTTCAAAGCAGGATGTCCCATAGGACCGATGAACCATATAGACAAAAATTCCAGGCCACATGTTTTCGAAAGGACCGATGTCAAGGTGGAATAATTCAATTTATTTGTGGAGACGCACGGGACGGGTGAATCGCATGAAGCCCTGCAACTCTTCTGCAGTACAAATGCTGTGGTAGGACAGCTTTTCCATTGTTACCCGGTAAATGCACTCTGAGTGATGAATTCTATGATACATATTAGCACAGTGTAAGGCTAAAGCACAAAAGACGGAAAACATTTTAACATTGTTTTCTTCTGCTTTAGAGAAGGCACTGACACTTATTTTGTTGACCATTTGCACAACACCTATCACGCTTCCTCGGCTGATGGGTATGCACAGGGTGTTCCGCGTGGTGTGGCCTGTGTACAAGTCTACTTCTCTGTTAAAGCGTGGGTCTGCATAGGCATCTGGAATGTTCAGGGCTTCCCCTGTTCTTGCTACATGGCCAGCAATTCCTTTCTCTACTGAAAATCTTATCTCTTTGGTCCTCTTGAAGACAGGTTTTCCTTCCTTTTCCTCTCCAGTGTCAAAAAGGTCTGAATATAACTCCTTGTTCTTATGGTCTACCTGGAAAAGTGGACAACGACCAGCATTTGCCAGGTTTTTTGCATATATCATCATGCGTTCAAGTAGAGAATCTACTGCAACTATGTTATCAAAATATGTTTTTGATACATGGAGTAGAAAGTCATTCAATTCAGTCGGTTTGGCAAGGCCTCTGCATACCTGCACCTGACGTATTGCTAGTGAAGCCCAGGCAAGATTTGCTGTTGCAGCCTCTTGGTGACTAAGACAGAAGGCTCCTTTGCCCCAGTGCCGATGCAGCTCAAGAATACCAATCAAGTCACCAACTGCAGTGACAATTGGTAAGCAAAGAACAGACCGGATGCAAGTCCCTGATTCCAGTCCAGTACGTTGTGGGAATCATTCATCCCCAAGGATGTCTTCTACCAGCTGTGTTTTCCTGGACTTGGCTACATAAGCAGAGATGGTGGCTCCCTGGGTGACGGGCCCAGCAGGGATGTGGCGGGGTTTTCCTTCCTTTAATCTGGGTGGTGTGAATATGCACAGCCTATTATTGCCCTCTCCAAGGAGATACAGAGCAAATCCATCAGCTTTTGTGGCTATTTTTACGATGCTGCTCCGTTCACAGAGCAGTAGCTGGTTGTCTCCTGCTGTGTCCAACCATTGTTCTGTGTAGCTGTTTAGTTCATAAACAACTCCCTGCATATTGGTATCTTGGTACCTGCTGACTTCCTTAGGAGCCGATTCATCTTCTGATTTGTCGTTCTTCCTCTTCAGCCATTTCTCTACTCTCTCTGCACTAACACTTTCAGATACAAATTCATCTAATACCTTGGGGTAAAGAGAAAGATATGCCTTCACTTTTTCATTGGTAAAGCCATATAATGTTGCCATACCAGTTAACCGTCAACTGCTGGGTCACAGGCAGGAGCGGGAGTGTGTCTCTGGCCAACAGCCCGGGGCTGGTGAGCGGGCCTTCACGGCCTCTTCCACAGCCTTCCTCCCTGGTTTGGCATCAGTTACACCAACTCGCCTAGGAATGCAGACTTGCACAAATCCTTAGATTACTTTCCTTCTACCTGGAGGCAAAGGTAACAGGCTGATGGGGTCTCCCATGGCCAGACTCTCAGGCCCAGGATTGGCCAACTGCCCTCCCAACGGATTCCAACTCTACTTCTTTGGGGTATATACCCCTCATCTATTTCTAAGGGTTTATATGATTATGTTGAGCCCACCCAGATAATCCAGGATAATCTCCTTACTTCCACCTGCAAATATGACATGTCACATAGATTCCAGGTATTAGGTCATAGGTCTCCTCGGGAGACCATTTTTCTGCCTCCCTCAAGGCCAGTATGACCACAGTTTGGGAACAGTGTGGTGGCTACAAGAGTCTAAAAACCCTTTTGTGTTGATACTACACTAGTGCTTCTTAAATACGAGGACATAGGTAATCTGTTTAAAGTAACAGAATGTTGGCAGAGCTCAAGAATACATCCACTAGCCCCCAACCTGATAGAGAGTACACTGGAGATTAACTGTCAGGTTAGCAATCATTGGCTCTGATAGGACCCAGAACACACAGCTACACCCAGACACCAAGGTCTTGTAGCAGGACTGTGTAAAGATAATCATCCAATCAATGCAAACCATATTTTATGCAACTTTTTTAGATCACATCAAAAGAAAAGAAAATTTTTTTCTATTCCCATAGAATTCACATCGAAGAATTTGGGGTCCCTGGGTATCTGTAGATTCCAGGGTGAGAAATATTTGGCTAATGCTTGATAGTTTCATTCATTTCTATGTCTCCAGTGCCTAGAACACTGCTTGGTGCGTGGAAAGCCCTCAGGAAAGACTGCTGAATACATGGATGGGTTATAACAGGGGAAAATGGCAGAGGCAGGTGTGTGGGATGATACTGGCAGAGGCCTGAGAGGCCATGAATAGGTTTATTTAGAGCGTGTTCTGTACCATCTTTAAGAGTCATCTGAGGGTTCTTATTGTCTCGAGATCTCACTTGGTGACTAGCATTTATTTCTTTATAATACTTTCCATCTTCATTAACAGGGACACCTAATGTGTTAAATCCCTTTGAAGGGACTAGGGCAAGCATGTCAGCAAAACATGTGTGGTTTTGAAGTGATGCCAGTGAAGAATTGGCCTCAGGATCTCTTTGCTCTAGAAACTCGACCCCTCTCTTCTTTTACCCTTTCCTTCTAGAAAGTTCTGGGAGGTGCTGTGTATGAGATGTAAAAGATACCCAGTGAATCAGAATATTAAAAACAAAAACAAAATCAAATTGGCCATGAGGATTGAATGTGGAGTAGACACACAACGCTCAGGACCTGTTTGGTCATAGTATCTCATTGCTTAGGGGAGGAGGGGGGGATTTTGTTGAGTCTTTTATAAGAAACAAATCCCTTAAACCCCAATGAGGGAAGGAGTCACTGTGGTCTGTTCTCCTTGGAATTAATGCAGCAAAGGCAGGCGGTGGTCCCAGACAGCATTCCTGAGACTTCTGAGAAGGAGAGACGTTTCATTCTTGAAATGTAAATACACTATTTTCACTTTATTCTTTTAAACACAACTCAGTCCTGAAAGTTGATCTGTCTGTTGAAAGGAAAGCTGGCCTTAGCCAAAATGTCTGAATCCCACAACTGAAAATACATTCAACAAATAGCCACTATTTCCTATTTGTATAAACATTTATTTGTCCAAGCTCTAAAAACTTTGAAAATCTTCAGAAATTAGGCTGTGTCAATGTGTTTCAAGAGGACTGTCCATGGAAATAAAGATGTAGCTCTTTCTCAATAACACGATTTCATGAAAACCCTTTTTTAAAACCAACTTGTATCAATACTTGAGCTCAAATTGAAAAATCTCAAGGATAAATTATTTGTAACTTGGTAGTTACAGACATTCTTCATAACTTGGCAGTTACAGAGAAAAAAATCATGCACTGTGTTTCCAGACTCTAAATGTTAGACAAAGCCTAAGAACTGTGCAATTCACATGGCACTTTAACTGGGCATGTGACTCCTCTACTCTCGTCCGGGTTTGGCCACCTGGAGCAGGTCACAACTCTTCTCTGGGCTGAACTTCCCTCACTGCAATAGGACGGAGTCACCAAGGGGTCTCTCTCCCAGGAGTCTGTGAATTCTTTGCAACATATCTAAAGAACCCAAATATAGTCTATAATCCTGGAGATGTGTTTAATCCCAGAAATAAACAATGTCTCTTCCCTTCCAAAATATACACTTTCTTTTGAAAAATAAATCTCTCCCAAGGAAGTATGGAAGCCATTCTTTTTTATAGGCCCCTCTAACATTATGGCACTAAGTGTTTCCACCTGTACCCAGCGTGGACGTGGCCACTTAATCAAGATGTGATTATCTAGCTCAGAGTTTAGCCAGAGTATGTGTTTTAAAGAAATGGAGAGCTGAGCTACATGGTTAATGGCAAAGAATTCCTGGTCTCCAGAGGACTCTCTATCCAACATCTTTATTGGCAGTGAACGTTCAGAAGGTCATAAGCTTTCAGGGACAAATATACTATAGCCGTAATAAGAAAGGATTGGCAGCACAAACCCTCACCCCTCATGCTCCCCTGCTCAGCAAGTCCTCCTGGCTTCTACCTCTAAAATATATCAAGCCTGTGCCCTGAAAATCCCTCAGCTGATGCTCTTATTCAGAATCCCTTTCCTCTCTTTTTTTAGTTATTGATCTTGCCTGCAGGGCTCCCCTTTCTAAATCATCCTCCATGGAGCCAGAGTAATATTTATAAAACAGGAATTTGACTACATCACTTCTCTGTTTAAAAACCTCCTAAGGCCACTCTACAAGATTGCAGCTGGAGCTCTCCCACTTTAAAGAACTTTCAGAGAAGTATATAATGTGGTCTCATCTGCTTTGTGTTCTAGTCTATGGTTGCCAGATTTAGCAAATAAAAACACAGAACACCAACTTTAAATTTAAATTTACGAAAACAGAAAATAGTGTTTTTAATGTAACCATTTCTCATGCAATACTTGGGACATGCCAAACATCTTCATCATCTATCTGAGATGTGAATCAAACTGGGCCTCCTGTATGTTATCTGGCAGTGGTACTCCAGTTATGCTGCTCTAATCATTATTTCCCAAGCCATGCACTTGCCTCCCTTGTGTAATTATTCATGCCTCTTCACTACCTAAAGTGCTACTTTCTCTTTCCCAACCTGAAAATTCCTATTCATCCTTTGTTGCCCAGCACATCCTCTGTAAAACTTCCCTGACAGCCAATATTATAAACCACTCCCTTCTCTGCTTTTCTTTATGTATTTGCCCTTCTATACTCTCCGCAGTGCTTTATAATTACTTATGAGTCACCCTCTTCCACTAGAATGAAAGATCCTCAAAGTGCAGAGATCGACTTTAGTCCCCCTTTCACCCCCCAACCCTCAGCTCAAGACCAGCAGAGGACAGGGGTTCAATGAACTGTGTTAAATGAACGAAGAGTAAACCAGTAAATAATAATTAGTGGGTACGATTTCAAACACATTCTCCCACTCCCCATCAGAGTGAAATTCTGTGAAAAGAATATTTTTAATGATTTAAATTCTCTTCATCAAGAAACTGGGCAGGGGCCCTAGAAACAGGTTTCCAAGCCATGAAAGTAAACACCTGCTCCCCAAAAGTGTTTCCACCACCCTTCATACCCAGACCAGCAACGACTGCATTGCATTCAAGATCCCTATTCGTAGGTAGGATCTCCAAATCCCCTGCTTCTCTGCAGGTTTTAATCTTGTCCACCCCTTTCCCAAATGTGAATATGGATTGCAATTGTCCTGAGTAACCAGTAATTTGTCTAGATTGCTCAGAGCTGTCCTTGTCACCTGCCCCACTCACTCTCCCACAGCACTCTGGTAGCCCCTCCGCGGAGGACTTACACCTCTTGCTTTTTGCTCTGGGCTGTTCGAGGTGGCAGCTCCACCTCTAACACCCCATGGTCGGCACCCAGTAAAGACATACTGAATAACTTGACACACGCACAGTCTCCCCTTCAATCCTGTGCCTCCTTATTCATGCCAGTGTCCCTCCCTGACTGACTTCCTGGTCTCTATTCAGCCTCTCCTCTGTAGGAGTTGATGTTCACCCCCAAAATGGAGCTCCTTAAAGTAGTATACCATCTTAAGCATCTGCAGAACTTCTGTGGCTCATTCATGGTATATTTTTTTATTATATGAATGAATGAATGAATGAATGAATGAATCGTGCAAGTTCAAGAGCCATTCACTAAGAATCTAGTGAGAACCTGGATATTGGCATAAGATAATGATTACAATATAATTTCTAACTGCAAGGAGTTTGAAATCTAAGGTAGCAACACTAATAGTTTCAATCTTTCCTGGACATATATTTAACTTCAAAGATAATTTGCTGTCACACAGAAGATATCCAATTGGTAGAAGAAAGGAAGAGTATTTTTTAAAGGATCTTCCTGACTGGTTATGCATTTACCCAAAAGATAAGCATTATGTTAGAGTCTGGAATTACTCAGACCAACTGTCCCTTCCCCACTTTGGATAGTGTCCCTGTAACCCTTTGCAAGCAAGAGGAAGGGACATGAAAGTCAAGTGGTCCAGTGAAGACTAAGAAACACAGAGAATCCTCCAAAGCAGAGGATGTGCTCTACTGTGACAAGAAGGGAAGAAATGTTAGCCACACAAAACAGGTCTAAAGAAATGATGGAAGTGTGGAGAGCTGAAAGTGGGCATTCACATAGGGGTGTAATCTTTATTTTTAATAGTGGTTAAATGAACCAGGACTATATTTTATTTTGTGTATTTATATCTAGAAATTTTAAAATATTACTAAGTGAAGATATCATTCAATGTATAAAGAAAATATTGGT